TCATATACACCATACACATATTCATTCACTTTTACATTTCGTACCAACATAAAACACCACTGATCATGCATTGAAATACCATAAACAACCAAGTAAGTTATCAGAAATTACTTAAAACATAAGCATAGAAGTACAAAGAATGGTTGATGTGTGAATAAAATGTAATTGCATTCATATCTTAGTTTAGGTAATTTGTAAATATAATTACATTAATTGAATGATTTTATCATGCATTATCTTTGTTTCAGATTATACACTTGAGTTTTGAGTTTTTCTTATAAATTGGTGTTTCTAAGTGTTAAAATCACAACGAAAAGAATTTATGTCCAAAATGTAGAGTTGAAACCAAAAAGTTCCACAAATTATAATATTATAGTGTAGTTAACAATTATAAGGTAAAAAAAAAAAACAATAACCAACCGATCATCTAACAAACCGTTAATATTATACTTGAATAATTTGAGCAAGAAACCTATTAATATTTAGACTTGATTTATGAAGATAAAGTAGATATATTTATCAATTAGCAAAATATTATAAATCAAGTAAGGGATGGATAGGGTTGTGTGCTCAATGAAATCGTAAAAACTAAGTTATTGTTAATCAATGAGAGATTCTGTAACACAAATAGACAAAGAATGATTAGCAATTTGTGTTTAAGTATCTCTTCACCAATTTTTGCGTAAATATCAACTATCCACCTTTTTCTTTGTGATGGCTTATTTAATTGTTTGTAATTTATCTTTGAAACAATTTTTTCTATCTTATAATTTGTGTTTCTGTGTTTTGTTTAGTTTTAGATTGATGAGGTTATGAAACGGTAGCTAACTATGAAAGAAAGATTGTAGCTAGCGTGGACAATACCCAACCATAATCAGTGAGTTTTGAACCCTTCACCTCTTTATCATGATATTGGGGAATCAGACGTAAAAGGAGTCTAAAGGGTAGTGTGGGGANTGCACATTGCAACATAACAAACAAGACCCTCAACTTGCAATCTTCAGACACCATTGTTCACAAGTTTAGCCAAAGAAAGAGAATTAAATCAACACCTGAATTGAATTGTTAGAACCAACATAGTACTGATCAACTGTCTTCAACCAACCAACATCGTCATGTGTATGAGCTACCAGATGAACATTGAGCTTGTCAGGGACTATACCCTGTGATGTGTTGTACACCATAAACTTGGATTGCCCACAGAGCAGTATTTCCAAAAGGGTCAACAAAAAGAGCAATTTTTTCGCCATTAGATGCTGAAAATGAGGAATGGTGGATTCACCCATGAAAGGAAAACCGTCTCAGACGCCAAAGAAAAGGTGAAAAAATATATTTTTTCTTAATTTGTCTGCGAAAATGGAAGATGGAACACCTTCCACTTGGTGATCATGCACAACGGTGATGAAGCAAGCTCATCAGAGTCACTTCCATGTGTTGTGTTCGAAGGTTACCAGCACACACTGGTGATTTTATCGGCTCTTGATTTTTTACTTTTTCTTTTTGTTGTTACTTAATGGTAATCAAGATCTCGTTTTGGTAATCATCTATTCTTACGCTGACTTCGCTTCTAATCTAGCCAAAATAAATGACAGAGAAAGTACATCATTTTAAAATTAAATGTATTTCGGATAAGATTGTTTAAATTCCTTCACATTTTCATAACAATTGATAAAAAAAAGTCTTAAAAAACACTGTTAACACTCCTAAAACAAAAATGATGAATTGATATATATAATGAGTAAAGATTTTTAACATTCTTTATCAATTTGTATAACAAGACTTAATAATCATGCTATTAAAAAAACTACTAAAGAAAATAATGGCCTTTATTAATATAGTTTGGTGCTGATGAAATCTAAAGAAATACTTGCTTATTTTAAAAAAGTTATTTCCAAGGTTAATTAAATAATAATTGTTTTAAAAGAATTACTAAATAAAGAACACCATGTGGAATCACATATTAATAACAAAATAACGAGTCCAAAACATGTATTAAAATATATTTTATCCGTAATCAAATCGTCTGTCAAAATAAATGGAAGTCTCCTCCATCAGTTGTTAGCATTGTCTTCATTCGTCTGACATAATCACTACAAAGCATTTTCCGTTGTATTTTTTAATTTAATAATTAATAAGGTTTTAGGATAACTGACCCAATTTAGATAAAGACAAGTGATTTTTTTTTAAGTTAGATCATAATACACGTATATTTTTATTATATATATATATTAATCATTTATTTTTTTTCTTTTCGACTTTCTTTTTTATCATATTATATATTTTAAAATATTTTTCTTTCTAAATATATTTTATATGGTGATCAATGTGTTAGATATTTCCTCTCTTTATTTTTTTTTCTAAAACAAAAGTAAATGTGGGGTTTCAGACATATCCCAAACTTGTATAATTTCTTATCCATTTGCTGACTCAGGAATAATTTGAAGTATGAAATGTCGGCCCCACACATCATCTAATGGATTTAACTTAATCCATGTCTGATGTAGTTTATAGTTTTTTTAGCTTCATCTTGGATTATATTAACCGATTACATTGGTCTACTTTAAAACATAATTTTAAAATTTAATTTATATTAATTAAAATAATTTTAAGTTTAATATAGTGATTTGATGCATAACTTATCACATATATTTTTCATGAAATAAAACTATTTTTATACTTTTAGATATAATTATTATTGATGTCATACATTTTGTTTTATTTAACCATGTTCATTTTATAAATTTATAGAACTAACCTATCGGATCAAACTCATTTTAATTGCTTTATAAATCATGATTTAGAACATTTAGATTTTTTATTTATTTTAATAACATGTTAAAAAAATTAAGAAAATATTATATTGTTTCATCAAGAAGTGCAAAGAAATTTATTATCATGCTGTTTAGAAAATACTTTAAAAGTTGTAATTATTTTAATGATATATTTGATTATTTTATTCATAAAATGTTAATAGATTTTAAATAATTGAGGTTTTTCTTCCTAAAAACTATTATTAACATTCCAAATTAGTAATATAAAACTATAAAAATAAAACATATATAGATGAGAACTTACAAGGAATTTGAGGTTATTAGAACAAGAAATTTTATCATTGATGGATCAAAGATTATCTATTATGTTGCTTTTCTCTCAACCAAACGTTGAATCCCCTGAAAGATGTTCTTCCTAAACTTACACCATTTAAGTAATTATCGCAAAAGAGAAAACATATAAAAAGACATACAACACAAATGCAAGGGTAAGCTAGTAGATAAATAATTCATCTTATTCAAAGAAAGTTCCATCATACATTATATTACACGCATAAGATAAACATTCATCCTAAACATGCCACAGACTTAGACTTGACCATCTAAATGCAGTATGAATGTCGAGCTACGATGATTCATGCACTTGTGATGGCCTTCAACAATACCCATTCAAATCCAAATACAAACGCCAACCTATGTCATCCACAAGGTTAGTCCGTTAACACCTATATCCTTAATCAATGAACATAGACTAGGACTTCCTACTACTTTCCACCACATAACAATCAATATATACCTGAGATTGGGGTTATTGAGAGCTTCAGGATAAACCGTTGGATTAACTCCAGTCATTCATACAAACAACACTACAAGACACTACCATGTAACCCTTCCACGAGGATCATGAAATTACATCCATTAATACCATTCAATTCATTCACAAACTACTCATCACAATATTCATATACATCATTTTCATTCTCATATACACCATATACATATTCATTCACTTTTACATTTCATACCAACATAAAACACCACTGATCATGCATTGAAATACCATAAACAACCAAGTAAGTTATCAGAAAGTACTTAAAACATAAGCATAGAAGTACAAAGAATGGTTGATGTGTGAATAAAATGTAATTGCATTCATATCTTAGTTTAGACAATTTGTAAATATAATTACATTAATTGAATGATTTTATCATGCATTATCTTTGTTTCAGATTATACACTTGAGTTTTGAGTTTTTCTTATAAATTAGTGTTTCTAAGTGTTAAAATCACAACGAAAAGAATTTATGTCCGAAATGTAGAGTTAAAACCAAAATTTTTCACAAATTATAATATTATAGTGTAGTTAACAATTATAAGGTACAAAAAACAATAACCAACCGATCATCTAACGGACCGTTAATATTATACTTGAATAATTTGAGCAAGAAACCTTAGACTTGATTTATGAAGATAAAGTAGATATATTTATCAATTAGCAAAATATTATAAATCAAGGGGATGTATAGGGTTGTGTGCTCCTAAAAACTAAGTTATTGTTAATCAATGAGAGATTCTGTAACACAAATAGACAAGAATGATTAGCAATTTGTGTTTAGTATCTCTTCACCAATTTTGCGTAAATATCCACGTATCCACTTTTTCTTTGTGATGCTTATTAATGGCTTTGTAATTTATTTGGAAACAATTTTTCTATCTTATAATTTGTGTTTCTGTGTTTCTGTGTTTTGTTTAGTTTTAGATGATGAGGTTATGAAACGGTAGCTAACTATGAAAGAAAGATTGTAGCTAGCGTGGACAATACCACAACCATAATCAGTGAGTTTGAACCCTTCACCTCTTTATCATGATATTGGGGGAATCAGACGATAAAAGGAGTCTAAAGGGTAGTGTGGAGAAGAGGAGGAAAAGAGTGAAAGTAGACAGTGACTTAACCGTATTTAATAGTCGATTGGAAAAAATAATTAATGTTTTGATTTTAATTCGAAACTTATATCAAATAAAAAAATTGAATATTTTCTTAATTAAACCTTAATATTATCAATAATAAATGTTTTTAAGACATAAATTGGAACAGAGGAAGTAGACATAGGTATATTATTCATATTTTAAAGTTAATTGTTTAGTCCACTTGTGTTTTTGGGCATTATATAATTCAGAAAAGACTTCTAGACTATGTAATGCAAAATCGATGCTTAAAGTTAAAAAAAGAAATCTGTCAGACAACTCTGTGACCATCCTAAGCCACTGCTGACCAGGAACGATCCTCTGCAGCTGGAGATTTACACTAATCCGAAGAGAAGTCATCTAGCCGTTAATCACGCTCTGATCACAGAGTCATTAGTTCATCCACCAGATTTCAGTTCCTGTCTCCTTAGAACTTAAGGATCAGAGGTACGAGCCTATAGAACAGATCCTGTTCAAGTAAGGTCGTGACCATGCTTTTTCTCTGAAGTATATAAACTGTTTAATTTTTGAAAGGTTCTCATGTGGGACAAGCGGGCCTTCCAATACGACAAATATCCCGCATTGTTTGGGTGCAGTGATGTGTGTGTGCCATCATATAACTGAATATTTTATTGATAACTGTCTAGAAACTACATGCATCATGTCTCTAAATATCATATAAAAGCCTTAAAATTATCAGTTTATGAAGCATTCAAATCACTCAAACATTTCAATGTTTCCAATCATCATATATCTTACATACCCTCAAGTCAATTGCTGATATGTGAAAGTATGCACTTGCTTCTTTAAGGATAATGATTATGACTAATTATTAACCTTAGCTGTTCTGAAAACAATCTCAATTCATAGGTGCGTAGCTCTCAACGAGATTCAGGTAAATGTGTGATAGGAATCATGTGCTTTTGCAAAAACAGAACATTCGAAACTTTTGTTGCAGGTGCTTGTAGAATCAGGGATTTGCCTCAGAAACAGTTCTCTGCCATGGATTTGTTCCGGAAAGACTTTCTTATAGTCGCAAGGGCTTATGGATTCTCTTTTTCGTATTTGTTAATATTTTAATGTTACTCATTGGACTTAGACATTATAATTGTTGCAGAATGAAATGTATATTGGCCAAACAGTCACATTGGTTCTTTCCTAAGTCTTCCTTTTTCTTTTTAGGAGTTAGCACTTTTAATGATGGATGCATGAAATAGTAGTTTATTTTGGGGGTACTTTAGTGGTATAACTTCGAAAAAGGGATCCAAACTCGGATTAATTCTGCATGAAAATTTCTATAGAAAACTGATGCTATATCATTCAAGGAACACACGATTTGTCGCCGATCAAATTTTGTTTAAAGAAATGCACTTTCAGTGAGGACGCTGTTTTGATTTATTGGGATCCTCATGTTTTCGATGTGGGTCTTCGAAGTCAAATGTACTTGTTTCAAATTCTGAATTTCGACTTATATGTTGAAAAAAAAATTTGATACAAATGATTTTAAGCAAAATATGAAATGTTTCTTATTGTGTTTTACTTTACTTTCAATAATATAGAATGAGCTACTCATAGAAGATAAGCTGACATATTTTATGTACACTAAAGGCAATTAATTTCTACATCAAGGCGATATCTGTTTACTTTAAACTTTTCAAAACTTAACCCATACGAAAATGCATAAAAAGTAAAAGTAAGGAAAATATACTTTAACATCGTTAAAAAAATACAAAAACATTGATTTTACAGCTTTTTATAATGATATAATAATATTTATTTTAAATTAAAAGTAAAACAAATATGATTAAAATTTATATTTGAATTATTGGGTAGGTATATTTTATTTAATTATCATTACTCTATGTAAACACATGCCATACATCGTGAGAAATGAACTCATTGTCCATATAGAAATATGATAATTGTTTTCTGCACTCTATCATTTTCTTCCTATACACTATCACTTCTCCTATCATCCCCGAAATTTATTTTTTAAAACATTATAAACAATTTCAGATTTTTTTTTGTTTGAAAATCAATCATCCCCTCCTTTTACGGAAATTTTTTATGAGTGGGAGGAGAAATTTGATGGGTGCAGAAGCTTTACCTAGAAATATATCTCCAGTCTAAGAGGGTTCCCTAACCAATTGTTGGGGCTTTCGCTTCCGATACTACATGCACTTATTTTATTTTTAAAATATCTTTTATGCTTTATGATAGGTCATAAGTAATAAGAATCAAGGTGGAAAGTGAACATGGGTATATTACTCAACAAAGAACAATTATAGAAGAAACAATTAGGTCTAAAATATAGAAGGTTTATATCAGAAAAAAGAAAGTAGGATCAGAAAAGAAAAAGAAAAGTGAGAAGTTAGTTAGGATGAGAAATGATGTGTCAAGAATTCAAGAGATGAGGAAATTTTGTATCAGGAGAGAGAAATGAGAGTGTGAGGGTTGTTGTAGAAGTTGAGTCGGAGTAGGAAGTGTGAGTCGGTTAGGAGGAAAGTGATCTCTTGAGGAGTCTAGTGTTCTGGGGCTGCCTTATTGATGTAGAGTTATCAACTCAATAACATTTTACTGCATAATATTCTAAAGAATACAGACTTGGATATTCAGTTATTTCTTGGTTTTTATCATTGGCCTGACCTATCGGATCTCGAGAAGAGCTAACATTGATGTCCATGCCACCCAAAAGTTTTGACCGAGTTGAAGCATTGAGTGTGACACTTTAGGAGCAGAGATAAGAGCAATATTAATGCAAGATTGTCAACCGATAGCTTATTTCAATAGAGCTTTGTCACCGACTAATTTAAATAAGTCAGCCTATGAGAAAGAACTAATGACATTAGTGTTAGCGGTCCAACATTGGAGACCATACCTGATTGGAAGGAGTTTTAAGGTGTTTCAGACCAAAAGAGTTTGACACACCTTTTACATCAAAGGATCACCACATAGGCTCAACAAATTTGGTTGGCAAAGTTGTTGGGATATCAGATTGAGGTGATTTACAAACTTGGCCCAGATAATAAAGTTGCTTGACTCGTTGTGACAAATGTTTATAGGTGGTGAATTGAGGGAGATTCATCTTTTCCCATATAATGCTTGCGGGAACAACACATCTAAAAGGAAGTGGAAGTAGATCCCTTCTTACAGCAAGTGGTGCAGAAGTATTATTTTACAACAGGAGGACTCATCTATTGTAGATTTTAGTTTGAAACGAGGAGTATTATTTTTTCAAAGGATGGCTTAGTATTGTCAGCTAAGTCAGATGTAATTCCCACCATTTTAACCGAGTTTCATTCTTTGCTAGCACGGTTCACTCGGTTTTTTAAGAACTTACAAACCATCTGGAAATTATATTGGATAGTATGAGAAGACGATTCAAGAATTTGTTAAAGCGTGTGATGTGTGCCAACGGCAAAACATGAAGTAACATATCCAATAGGATACTTCAGTCGTTGCCTATTCCAGAAAGATTTGGGAAGATATTTTTCTAGACTTCACTACGAGTTTACCAAAATCGAAAGGGTTTCAAGCTATATTTGTAGTGGTGGATCGGTTGTCTAAATATGGCCACTTTATTTTGATGAAACATCCTTACACTGCAAGGAAGATTGCTTAATTGTTTCCTAAGGAAATTGTAAGACTTCATGACATTCCATAGTCGATTGTTAGTGATCGAGACCCTTTGTTTATGAGCCTCTTCTGGCAGGAATTATTTCGATTACAGGGAACAACTTTGAAAATGAGTTCTTCTTATCATCTTGAGACTGGTGGTCAAACGAAAGTAGTAAACTGATGTTTAGAAGCTTATTTACGATGTTTTATGTCGAAACAATCCAAATATTGATCATATTAGGTACCTTGGGAAAAATTGGTAAATACTATTTTCATGGACAGATAGGAAAGACTCCTTTCGAAATCGTTATAGGAGACACAACCTACATTAGTGCGCTTTACATAGGGAGAAACACAGTGGAAGCTGTAGTTGTTGACTTGGTTGTAAAGATGAAGATATTCGACAATTGAAATATCACTTGTTGCAAGCTCAACAACAAATGAAGAAATTTGCAGACAAAAAGTGTAGATTCATCTAGTTAGGAGGAGAGAGTGGGTGTTTATTAAATTGCGACCACATAGACCCTAACCATTGCTGACGTATTAATAAAAAAGTTGGAACCTGGTATTACGGGCCTTTTTTATGGAGTTGCTGGAAATAAGCCAAGAACATCCAATTTTTCACATTTCCCAACTGAAAAAGGCTATTGGAAACCATGCAGTAGAACCGACTTTACCAACATAGTTGAGTCTTTGAGGAGGAAGATAAGGAAGAGTCTGAGGCAGTGTTAGTAGCAAGGGAGATTCTGGAGGGTGGTAACATCATCAAACAATGGCTAGTGAAATGGAAGGGGAGAACAGTGGAGGAGACAACTTGGGAAGATGAGGTGCTACTGCAGAATCAATTTCCTCCTTTCAGCCTTGAGGACAAGGCGTTGTTGTAGGGGAGGAGTAATGATAGGACTCCTAATAAGGATCATAGGTGAAAAGTGAACATGAACCTGTTACTCAGCAAAGAACAATTATAGAAGAAACAATTAGGCCCAAAATATGGAATGTTTATGTGAGAAGAAAGAAAGTGAGGTTAGGAAAGGAAAGAGTGAGAAGTTAGTTAAGATGAGAAATGACGTGTCAAGAATCCGGGGACGGGAAATTCTGTTATAGGAGACAGAAAGGAGAGGGTACAAAGTAGGAAGTTGTGAGTCGATTAGGAGGAGAGTGATCCTCTAGAGGACTCTAATACATGAGGTTGCTTGTTGCTGTAGAGTTATCAACTAATAATTTATTGTATAATATTCTAAATAATACAAACTTGGATATTATTCATTATTTCTGATTTTTATCACTTTTTCAAGGAACCTTCCACCTCTCCTTCACTTTTCTTGCTTGTAAATGTGTTCTTTTACAACATTGAAAATTTGTTCTCCATATGAAAATGTGTCATGTGAATGTCAAGGGAAACATGAAGTAAATTTTATGATGTAAATTTTATTTAATATTGTTTTGTAAAAATTTCAGTTAGAGAAGAATGTAAACATCTTTATGTTACAAAGTTTTTCTATGAATTGAGAGTGTGGTAAATTATATTGTTATAAGACGATACCACTATAATTGTTTATGAAAAAGACAAATGGGATGTTAGAATTTGTATTGATATTAGTGAATAAATGGTCTAGATATAGTTATTTTGATTAAACACACTAATTGAAACACAGGAAATAGACACAGGATATTAATTTCGTTATAGGATAATCTTTTCTTCATATTTTCAATTGTATAGCACCTTTTTTAAGCATTATGTAATTCAAAAAGGACTTCTAGATTATGTAAAGCAATTTTTTTTTTCGTAATATTGTTCAACAATCCAATCTAGAGTGTGCAATTCAATGTCCAAAGCAAGAGATCACAGGGGACCAATGAAGATTAAAG